AAACACTACCTGTGCTCCTGATCCTCTAAGAATTCGCCTCACTGCCCTGAAGTCCCTTTTGATGTCTTTTGGATTTCTCCCCTCAACCTCATCACTGCCCACCTGTATGACCAGTATCAGGTTAATGTGTTTAAATGTCTTGATGGTTAATGTCTTGATGTGTTTATTACTTAATTTTAATTTATATCAATGAAATTTTGGGGGGCCAAAAATGTCAGTGGACAAGATGGTAATTAAGTCAGCTGAACTGTATATTTAACTGCAGTAGCATTTGTAGAGGATTTGTGTATTTCCTACAAATGTGTGCTCCATCAACTAATTAATCCAATGACATTTTAACTTCAAAAATCTTAGTGGCTTGAACTGTAAAGTTACCTTTTGGTGACATTTGACCAGGCCCTATGCTCGTAATTCAGGTATTGGACTGCAGGGGAGCATCCAAAACTATATAAAGACTATTATATCTTAGGATGTGCCAAGAACTAACCTCTCAATTTAATGTCACTAATTATGCAAGTTTTGCTCTATTTCTTTAGAAAGATTAGACATACCTGCAAGGAACCCATTACAGAAAGTAATTGAATAGGTCACCTGTGCATTAAAAAAAAAGCCTGGGCTAGTGATTCAAGTGAAGGATGATCTGCTTGTTCTATCAATTATGATTTTATCTGAGATATGGGAGGAAAAACAAACGAACAAACAAACAAAAAAAGCAGCAGCAGCAGATCTGCCCCTAGAGGAATCTTGGTTACATCAACAAATTTTAAAACAACGATGAGGCTTTTCCACCCATGCTATAACCTGGCTGAGCTCTTAGTGTTTGGATCATGCTGAAAAGATACTCTTTCAGGGTGTGTTGTTATTATTACTATTATGTGGTTTCTACCACTTGTTATGATCAATAATTTTTATTTATTTGCTTTGGCTTCATGGATATCTTAGTGCTGAAATGGGGATATCTATTGTATGCATCATCCTCTAGCAGAAATCTCCCTCATGCTATTGGGAAGAGCCTTTTTGCTTCTCTCTGCAGTTCCCCAGCACCCTCTCCCAGCTTCGTGTCTCCCTGACAGCCTTTGATCACTATCACTAAGGCAAGATGGAGTTCTGGCAGGCTGGAGGACCTTTTGCAAGGAGTGCAGAGGTTCTCATGACAGAAAATACAATTTAAGGGTATGTCATTATGTACAGCCTGTATAGCCTCCTAGATAGCAAATGTTTCCAGTTGGAAAGAGTCCTTGGTGCCCAGCACCAGCAAAAGTCTGCTGACACAACAGGAAGTGTTGGGCATGGACAAAGACGTGGGGCTTGGAACTCCCTTACACCAGTTTCTCCAGGTGAATGACCAGAGGCCAGGAGTGTGGAAGCCCACCTGCTGTGGCCAAGGTGCTTCTAAGCTTATTGTGTCTATAGATGCACCCAATTAATGTCTTTAGCTAGTTAACCTTCTCCTTTCAAATGCTTGTATCAGTGGGGAGAGTTAGACATTATTTTGTCACAAAGAAAATGGTTAATGATCTCATTTAAGTTTCAACTTGCAAAAGAAGGATTCCAAAGATGTCAAAGGATGTAGTTATGCCAGGTATTGTGCCTCTCTGCTAGAGACAAACTGCTTAATCCAAAAAGCTGGTAATCATTTGGCACTCAGAAAGCTGTCTGGAAGTCCAAAACCTCATAAATACATTCTTTACAGCTTTGCAAATGTAGTCATAGTGTTTTACTGCACTCATAGTGTTTTACTGCATATAGTCTATAGCTTAAAATCTGGGATTCTGAGTGTGAAAAACTGCTAACTGTAAAATAATCAGACATCTCACCTGTTTCTAAAATCAGTCAATAGTGCTTACTGGTATGAAAATGAGTATCGAAGTCTTCCTGGATTATCCCACTTAGGTGCCTACTCTGATCCCCAAAGGAAAATAATGAACTGCATTTGTACATCACTGAGTCATTGATTACATATATCTTTTCAAAATCAAGATTCTTCAAAACTGGAAAGATAATGTGTATACAATCCTTTGTCTGTTCTAATTCTGACATTTAAAATTACTATATCTGATCTTTCCTGACAGTCACAAATTTTCCATCTTTTCTCCCACAGTTGCTCACTGTATTCAGATAATGCCCAGAAAAATGTCAGGAAAACCTTTACTAAAACACTGTGGTCTGTGAGAGCAAGCATAGTTCCTGTACTGCAGTTTCAGGAAAGACTGTTTTGTGTATGATATGTATATAACTGAGGTCATGAGGTCATACGGTTAAATAACACTAAAATACTTGATGATTAAGTACATCCTGAAGAGCTTTCCTTCACCAGGTATCACCCCCCAATAAAAAAACGTCTGTCATCTTCATTAAACTGTTTGTTCCTAAAGTTTTAGCTGTCCCTATTAGACAGTCCTCTGCATAGTTTATCATCTGTTAGATGATAAAAGATTGGAAGTTAACATTTTGGATCTTTCTATCCTTTCCATCAAAAATTAAATAGCCACACAGTTTCAATATTTTCGTTGCTTTAATACTTTCTCTGTTTTGTTTAAGATATGGTTTTAAAAATAATCTTGCAATATTCCACTATGACTGTGCTTTCTTAATCCACTTACGCCTATTAAATGTTATTACTGAGGCATACTTATAAACCATTACTGACCCTAGACCAGTGACAGAGTGGTTATAATCATGTGAAAGTTTCACCTGTTCATGCCATATACTGTATTGTGTTCTTTTTTTTTTCCTTCCTCTTACCATTAACACAACGTGTTCTTCTGAGAGCAGCATTGTCCTTCAAGTGATTTTGAAGCTGTTCCTTTCCTTAGGACACCTTACATGTAATTCCAGTGGTGGCAATGACTAGGCCTAAACTGTGGCATCCAGCAGTGCTTCCCTCCTGCTGGAAGGAAAATCCAGTGTGCAAGGGAGGAGGAGGAAATGGTAGGCAGACACCTAAGATAGACCGTCAAGGGAACAGAAATGCCAGGCAAGCAGTAGCACAGCATATGTTCTGCTGTCTAGAAACAGCCGAGTTCAGTCTCAAATTGCAATGATATTCTTGATGTGATAGAGCTGGTGGCATAAAAAACCATTTTCTTGCTAACTGTGTTTGTCAGCCTGATTCTAAGTTAGAACAGGAAACATTTGCCCTTAAGCTGAATTACTACTTGATTTACTACAGGCTGCTTTCTGAAATCTCATTTCAAACAATTTTTTTTAATGCCTTACCTTCATAAATGCATGCAGTGAATGGTTGGTGCCTTTCATCATGAGGATATGTGCATTTTATTGGCCTGCAGTGGATTCTGGTCCATCCCACGTCAAAACATTTTTGGTCATTGTGTATAAAACCGTAACTACATTTGTTTTTCAAACCCCTCTCCCCCATCTTAGAGTAGCATCAACTGCAGTTTGTCTGTCCTTCAACAAGGCATGCAATTTGTCATTTCTGTGGGCTACACACTGGAGAAATGTGATTAAACCCGCATTTTCCCCCCTACAGGAGAGAAATGTTCTACCTCAGTCCAATTAATATGGTTGATAAGGAGAGGTTACTGCTGTCTCAGAGCTCAGGGTCTAGTGACATTTAATATTGGTGGCTGGATTCTGCATTGCCAACAGGATTTCCAACTGGTCTCATATATGACGCAGAAACAAGCAAGCCTGCTGTCAAGTTCTTTTCCATCTCATTTTTCTTCATTAGGAGATAGTTGTATTGAAGCAAACAAACATTGCTTCCTCCTTGTCCTACAGATAGCAAAGTACATCTGAATGGCTTCTACTCTGACCTCAGCAAACTGATGATGAAAAGAAGACAACCTTGGGATTATTCATTTCAGCTTCCCTAGATAGCTTCCCTATCCTCCCTGGATGGAGAGATATCCACTGCCACTCTGGTGCCGTCTGGGAACAAGCACCAAATTCTAGCATGACCCTAGAACAGAACACAACATCTCCCTTTGTGACTTTATTACTTATTTTCTTGGGAATCCTCATTGGTCATTGCTTCCGAATTCTCCTTGACCCCTGCCAGAGCATGGCAACATCAGCCTGGGCTGATTGACCTGATGGACTGGAGAAAGGTCAGTTTGACTATGCTTTTGCTTAGAGACTAGGAATTGTGCAGCCTAAATAGCTAAATAGCATTCTGATAAAGGAATAAAAATCCTGGAATATCTCTTTATTTTGTATCTTGTTTACATTTTTTCAAATACTATAGGAGTTGCAACGTAAAAATATGCACACAATTAATTTGATTTTAATAAAATACTAAAGCAAGTTAAATTTTTGAAAGTGGATTAGTGAGTCTCCTCACTGGAAAAAAGATTGCATTAGCAGAACTTTTCTTGAGAATGCATGGGAACATGTGTGTGTGTATGTGGTGTCTTATAACCAGCTAAGAGACTCTAGAGCACATCTTCTCTTATATAGCCTTTTTATCACTAACAAGTGTCTGTGGAGGAAGGTGTCTTACAAAGGACGTAAGAATGTGTTTTTATGACCTGTATGTAGTAAATTAGCTTTTCAAGCTCCACAAGACTCTTCTTACTCTATCTCCTATGCTCTGACGACAAGTAAGGAAGTTTCCCGTACAGTAAGATAAAATCAAAAAAGCTAGAAAATTTCAGGAGAAAAAAAAAAATTCCTCCATGTTTCCCAAGGTGTTGTTTCTTAGCATTAGTACTACTTAATATTAACAAATCACAGACTGCAGTCTTTGTTGTAAATAAGATATATAATGATTTTGGCCTATCTGTCTTTTTTTTCCAAAACTAATTTCTGTCAAGGAAGGTTTTTTACATGGTTCTTATAACAGCTTATCCAAACAAATTTCAGTCTTGCATGTATTTCAAACCCTGCATTTCCAGCATTCAGTCAGTCTGCTTATTTGGTGTGTAGGCCACACTGCATTGTTTTTGTTTCCTAATTGGATGACTGAAATGTTGGTGCTAAGAATCAATAAATAAACACCAACCTCTTTACCCATAAATGCCTTTGAATGAATCTGTACAATGAAAGCCCATTCCTAGAAGTCAGTGTAAATGAAAACCTATCTGCATGAGTGATAAGGGAAAGAAAGATTTATAAGATTGCATGAAATTCAGTAGAATTACTTAGAGTCCAAGAGGATGTTTGTAAGCATTGCTTAGCAACATTGAGACACTAAAGTGGTAACAATATTTGATGTACTGCCAGGAGGGAAAAGGCCACACTTCTGGACACAGAAGAGTCTTGAAAACTGTACTAGTGCTGTCAGGCTTCTCAAACATTTTCTGGAAAGGAAAGCACATGCTGCCTGTTTTCAGACAAAGTTTTAGATTTAACTATTTCACTTGTACTATAATAATGATAAACAGCTGGGAAGTTTTCCTTTGTGCTTTGTCTTGCAGCCTGTAAAAAGAGAAACAAAACCAGCCCCGTAGCTGGTACAGCTGGGACTGTGCTGATTCATCCAAGCTGAGGCTCTGACTCCAGCTATTTATTTCCCTTTGCTTCTTGTCCTGTCCATTAGTTAAAGGTTGCAGCTATTTTTAGCAGAGGCATTGGAAGGAAGAGTGGCTTTGCAAGCTGGCTGTCACAGTTCACAGGAGTGCAACCAGAACCCCAAATACAGTTCACAGAAAGAGTTCAGAGAAAGAAAGTAGGCTATGATCTGTCACTGCTGAAATATGAGCACAGCTTGTTGCGAGGGTGGTAACTGTCGAGATGGAGTGGGCAGGGGTACAGGAACAGAACTATGTTCTCCAGAAGACATGACGTACTGGCTTTAGCTACATATATGTCAGTGCCAGGACACCTAGATCAAATTAACCACAAACTTTCAGATAATTTCCCAAAGGTAATGACAGTATGGCATATAAGAAATGTCCCTGTTGTTGCACCAGTGCTGTCTAAAGCAACATATTGCCAAGGTCAGGCTGGATGAGGCTTTGAGAAACCTGGTCTAGTGGAAGGTGTCCCTGCCCATGACATGGGGCTCGGAACTAGATTGTCTTCAAGGTCTCTTGCAACCCAAACCATTCTATGATTCTGAGATTTATGAAGCAGCACTAACAGTGTTTCTTCCTCTGGCCTGAGATTTCTCTCCTGCATCAGGGTCTGTTTGTTTGAAGGCTACATATTTCATTCTAATTTAAAAGAAAAATATTTTTCTGCATAATTTCATCTAAAGGGGGAGGTGATAACTCCAGTCAAGGAAATGTAACCCAGTGTTCAAGAGAGACAATTTTATTCTCATGTGGAGGTTGAAAGCTGCTAACTGAGGACTGTTTTGGAGACTTAGCTGGCCAGCATCTCTGGTATGTTTGGAAGCATTCCAAGGAATTATTTTTGTAAGCCACTGGGATAAGTCAGTCTAATAAGAGGAATTTAATACTGCTGGGCAGTCACTTTAAGTTGACCTTTCTATGGATATTGCTAAATTGGCTACAGCAAAGATAGGAAAGTCACAATAGTTCCCACATTGTGGCAGAGGTTTTTGCTTTTCGCTGTCAAAGTCTAACAGAAGTTTTCTGACGGCATGCAGTGATTCAGTTTCATGATAGCTCACTTTTCCTCTTCCTGGGGAAAACAGACCAGATTTTGAGTGGAAAGAGTCCACAAAGTAGCCTCTGGCACATCGCTACGCCTCACAAGAATATCTGTTCACTATGGAATGACCTGAATTATTAATGAGACTGGAAAGGGAGGGTCTGTGTTCTAATGCAGCTGTGCTCAGGCAACTCTACAGCTCTGTATCTCTCTGGTATAGGCTTTTGTTTATTTTAGCAGTTTCTGTTGAAAATCTTGTGTAACCTTTAAAAACTCTTTTTACAATGAATAGTTCTTGATATAATTTAAGCTGTCTTACATACTGTGGAGAAAGAATACTTATAATTTTTTAAATAAATACAATGTTCAATCTAACCGCAACGAGTTCAAGTCAAAAGGCTACAGAGTTTAAGCACAGAGATAAAACTCTTTGTTGGTAGACACCAGGAGGTAAAGTTAGTTTACTCCAAAGAGGATTTCAAGATTTGTATCTCTCAGTCATGACTCTCAAATGAAAATGCTGGCCTAACAGCATGGAGCTGAGACAGTAGTCAATTCTCAGTGATGTCTGGGGTGCATGTGTGTGGGAAGAGCCTTCATGATGCTTCTCCACTGCAGACAGAGGTCTGAGTGTAAAAGTTGTGTGGCCATGAATGACCTTTAAAGTATCTCAGGTGTCAGGAATGATACTGTCACAGAAATCCACAGCTCTGTGCACTCTGCAAGAGCCGTGTAGGGGTTACTGCTGGATATGTACATGTATGTTGGACCTGCAGTGAAATGTATCTGCTATTGACATGCAACTAGCAGGATCTGAGCTTTCTTTCAAAAGTAGGTGAAGTTTGGATCCAACAGTTCAGCTGTGCTAAATGGGAGAGAAAAAGAACCCGTGAATCAACTGATGCAGTTGGCAGCAGGGCAAACTTCTCCCTCACCAGAGATGGGGTTTATAGAAGTCATTGGACTTAGAATCAGAGAATCATAGAATGGTTAGGGTTGGAAGGGACCTTAAAGATCATCTAGTTCCAACCCCCTGCCATGAGCAGGGACACCTTCCA